CCCCAAAACCCCAAAACCCCAAAACCCCTTTAAATCATATAAATATTGAATGATTTTTTACTTCCGCTAGAAAGCCAAACTAACCTGATTGATCATTCCAATACTTTTCTACCTTTTCTTTGAACTTGACCATGCTCCTAGGAGCCCCATAGTTCGGATTTCCATCTTCTACACCATAACACCTCCAACTTACCTAGACACTCTAGCTCTGTAATCAACTCTGAGGCTTTAAAAAGCGTTAATCTCACAACTTAACCCCTCAAAAACTCCAAATTCCAAATTTCCTCGTACCTTTCTTCCTTTCCATCCTGTGTTTAAACTCATCCTTGCTTTCTTCAGGCATTTTGGAGTCCTAAACCCCTATAATCCCAAAATTTACTTTAAAAATCTCTTTCTTTTCTTCTTCGTCCTGATCGACTATTTTCCCTTGCTTCCGATCCTTCTGCCGCCTCCTAAATTCCTTCTTGATTTTCTTCTTGTTCCGCTCGAAGTTCTTCTTTGACGTGAACCTATTGGCCTTCTTCATCAAAGTGTCTTTCTCGATTTGGTTCTTGCAGATTCCTGTTTTCCAGCTAGGAGGTGAGCAGGGACCTTACAGAGAGTGGATAACCTTTTTCCATGCCTTTGCTTCAGTCATTGAACATTTTGAACCAACCCTAAACGGTTAGAGGAGGCTTACTTTATGTCAAGAGCTTTGAACACTTTCCCTTGGAGCTTGAACAAAGGAAATTTCTTGGTCTTTTCAATGTAACCTTCAAGTTCATCGAATAAAGCCAATGCTTCATTGTTTAAAAGGTCAAGTTGTTCTTTGGTAAACGAATTCATTGCAATTTTAAACAAGTCTGTTAGTACTAAGTCTAAGGAAGGATTAGAAGGAAGTTTACCGATACTCAGAGGACCTCCTGAAAGCACAACCGGCTTCTTGGTTACTTTTGGCTCAATTGTTTTGATAATTGATGTTATCTCAGAGAGATTCTTTGCTCTATTCTCTAAGAGTTCACATATAGAAGTAAATTTTTCTATTTCAAGTTCCCTAATCGTCTCTGCAAAATTTAGCAATATTTTTAAGTTGATTCACCTGGAAATGAATATCTCAAACAACTTGTTGAATCTTGTAGTTAATTCCTCATCAGATGTATCGATATTTTTGACTCAGAAGGTCAAAGTCTGAACAACAAAGTTTGCCAATTCCCCAGAGTAAATATAAGGCTCAGTCTCCTTAGAAGGAAATAGATGAACCTCCAGCTCATGACCATGCTCCTCTAGTCAGTTCATCAAGTTCTCTAGTCCTTCGATATAGTGAGGTACTTTTGCGGGTGTCTTGTTCCTAAAATACCATCATAACTTCTCGTTTGTAATGAAGTCAAAATTCAGCCCAAACTCCTTCAGCTGTTCAACAGTGATGGATCCCAGAGATCCCTTAGTAAATGAGTTCTGTTTTGAGAGCTATAAATCATGAGCAGAATTATACCTTAGCAATCATGGTCTCCTCATCTAACTGGAACAGCTCAAGAAGGTTCTTGAATGAGTCCAGATCTTCTTCTTTACAGTAGAAATGCAAGGATCTGACTATTTCCAACTTCTGAAACTCAGTAATTGACTGGGAAATAACATCCAATAGATTTTCTCAATTTGTATAATTCTCATTTGAGCTTGGCTCCCTACAAATTCTTGGTGAATACAACTTTAATGTGGACTGGAAGGCTCAGAATCAAATCACTTACCTTAGTCCTATCAAGATTGGCCTGACAAGACATCTTTTGACTAAATTCTTCTTCAAATCTTTATTCTTAAATACAGTCATGAGTGGAGCTGACTGTGAATATTCTGCCATTTCAAGACAGGTGTTGAAATCCACCTGTGTATAACTCTCTTCGCAGAACTCACTGAAATCTTTGATAAAGTCCTGGAAGATTTTCTTCTTTGCTTTTCCTTCGTTCAATTTGGCATTTTTGATCTCTTCAAAAGTTGCCTGTAGAGCTTCCATATTTAAAATCTATTATTACAGAGGAAAACATCAGAGTGCTCAATTACGACCAATAAGATCGGGGTTTTGGGGTTTTGGGGTTTTGGGG